GAAAATATTTGTTTTATATATCTTGTTTATGTTTTATCATTTAATCAAATCTAACAATCATATCTTAAGAAATAATATATTTGTTGTGTTTATTCTTAATATCATTTGAAATGTATGTTTAATGCTCTTTTCATCTATTATGTCTCTCAGTTGACTTGGTTGACCTTTTGTTCTTTTCTGTAGACATGTGCAGAGGTCTAACAGCCAGACCACAGTTGAAAAAAATGTTTTAGTTTTTTTTAAAATATCATGTTTCTATCATGTTTTCATAAAAAAAAAAAAAACATCTAGCAAGTAGGAAAGGTGTACAGCTGCAGTTTCTGTAGATACTAATGTGTAGTGTGTATTGAGACGAATTTCTGTATTTCTGTTGCATATGGTCTGCGTTATGACAAACTGTACTTTCACCCAAGGGGCATCAGAACCACAAAAGCCAGATATCTAATCTAGCTGTGTCTGGTGAGGCTTGTTTCAGTAGGCAATTAAAAGAGGAACTTGGCTTTGCTCATCTTTAACTGTATAAAAAGGAAGACATATTCTCTGTGTAGGTCAGTCTCTTACAGAAAGAGAGATCTCTCAACAACTTTGCTTTTTTATAGGCAAGAATATTATACCCAGAGTATGACATATTTTATTTATAAATATTAGAAGTGATTTTTAACTGTTCATCTTAGTTCTTTATTAAACTTTTACTCATGATTATGGATGAAATATTATTATTTCTCATTTATTATTTGATCATCTGCTGCTAAGAAATAAAAATGGATTTTATCATGACTATCTCCTCGCATCACTTATGCAAGTAGTTTAGTAAATATTTTTTTGATTTGCAAAAATGTCACGATTCTTGTTTTTGCTTTGTCATTATGAGGTATTATATAGCTAATATAGTATATATAGCTTCTGCTGCCACATTTTCCTTGCTCCTTGCAAAATGCACAATACTCAATAATAAATACAGTCAAGAGAGACTCAGCCCGAATGAAAACGTCATGCCTTCCTTCACAGGTACAAAGTATACAGGAATCATATAACACTGTCTCACGTCCAAAACAAAACAATGAATCCAATCACTGTACAGACAAAAGTTACACAAGAAGGTTTTTGCACTTCAACCTGCAAATTCAATGATGCCACTTTTTTATTTTTTACAGGGGTGCTTTATTATTACTATTATTATTATCTCATTTATACTTAAAATTCAGTAAATGACAACATTTTTGTTTACCATAACCTATATGGGGATCTTCCATGGTTTCTGTCCTTGTTGATAATTCTCTATTAGACTATAAGAAGCAATACTCACAGAAAGCAGCAAATGATTCTCACAGCAGGGTTGTCACCACAGACACTACAGGAGCCTCTCATCAGGTCTAATAAAAACATGCTGAGCATCCTGTATTTATAATATCCTATATCAATGATATTGCAGAAGCTAGGTTAAACATTAAACATCACGATAAGTAACAGTTAGCATGTGGTTATATATTAATAATTATATAATTATTGATTAGGCTAACTACACACATAAAACAAAGGTTCTTGCTATCCATGAACAACCATTAACATCCATGGGACCTTTCCATTGCACAAAATTATTTTTTCTTTTTCATTATTTTTTTCTTTTTCTCTTTGTATTTCTCACCACACAGGGACAAGGTGATTCATAGTCAACAACAAACATGGAAAACCTCATATTTAAAGTACATTCTTGACATTTTTTTTCTCAACTAATCTTTTGCTTAATCTTTTTAACTTTCACTCAGTATTTTTGAAGAAATGTCTCACCTTTCAATGCTGAGAAAGGGGAGACGTTTCTTTGAAACCTGTTAAGAAATTTAGGGTGCTGCAAAAAACACTCAACACATGTTTATCTCTCTCTCTGAAGGGTGTGATGTTCTTGCTTTTAACCCTTGTGCATCCTTATGGAGATTTTTGTCCTTTTCAGTTTTTCAGTGTTAATGCTAACTGCATAAAATTTGGCACAGGTGTGTATTTTTATTGGAACTTTACTATTTCACCACCATTTCCTTTAAAAAAATCAATTTTACACTAGGTACACATAAAATATTCCCTCTCAGCGCCTTTTAGACAAAAATTTCCCAATTGAAACCCATTAAAACGGTAATTTTTAATCCCAGGGCCATTTAACTATAAAATAATGCAATCTTTGTTAAGATTATTTGTACTATTTTTTATCAGATGGTGCCATTTTTCCATGTTTGGCCTATAAAGCAAATACTCGCTTTATTCCTGTTTTCTGCTTCGGCATGTTATAGAGGCAATTGGATAAATTGTGCAACGATAATTGTGTGGGTGTGTTGGTATGGATGTGTCTGAGTGTGGTTTGTATGTGTGTAATAAAAAAAAATGTGTGTGTGTTTGTGTGCTTGTAATATTTGAGAGAGAGAAACTCAACTGCAAATCTAAAATCCAATTACTGTGTGCACCAGTGGGGTTTTTCTGGCACCCAATGGCGAAAATCTGTTACTGCGCCCAAACAAAATCTTACTGAAAGCTCATTTTTTGTAACCTGGCCCTAGCCAGATGAATTTCGCTTCGCCTAGCTTCACTCACATCCATCTGGAACCGATCCATTGAAATTGCGTTTCAGAAGGCTGGGCCTTATCAAAAATCCTTGCATATGATTGGATAAGACACTTGTCTGTCATCTTTATCGACGTGCTATTTCAACCACTCACACCGAAGCCAACCCGTGACGCTGAAGAATCCGGTCGGGAGAAGGCACTGATCTATATAACATCGTTTCCACCAACAAAAGCCTTAAGAGCCGTTCTCTGATGTTCTTTTAATGAAACAATATTAGGTAGATTGGACAACACGGATGAAATAGCAGCATCAATGTTAACGCTTGTTTCCTCGATGCGAGCCGCCATTGTTGTCTGAATCAAAACAGTCTCACGGTCGCTTCTCCACTACGTCACATCTATGAAACTCCCGCCCTGCGTCCTGATTGGCTAAACCATAAAGTTGGTTGGAGAAATCACTCTCAATGGAAGAGGTTCCAGATGGATGTGAGTGAAGCTAGGCGGAGCGAAATTCATCTGGCTAGGGCCAGGTTACATTTTTTGAGATATCATCCTCAAATTTGGAACACAACTTATTTAGATTTATGGCTTTGATTTTCTAGCCGTTTTAGAGTTCAACTTGTTTCATAAAATACATATTTTATTTAAAATAATATCCATAAATAATTTTCTTTTTAAATTAATTTTCTAAAAACTTTTTTTGGGATTTACTTATTATTATTATTTTTTTACTTCAGCAATAATGTGCCAAGAGTCTTCTTTAAAATGATACCAAACTTAAGTCTGTGCTCCCAAGCTTCAACATTTTATGACAGTTTTTTGACACGGACATTTTTGTCCTCTATGTATGTGTAACTTTTTTTAATCGATCAGGGCATTAGACTTTTGAGAAATACTCTTCTGGAATGGGAAGCATACAGTATGTTTTATTTCTGGAAATGGTAGAAAAAGACAAGACTGCAATGCAAAATAGAGATAAATTGCATTAGTTCTCCTGTTTGACACAATCTTAAATGGCTGTGTTAGATAAAAAATATGGCTTTAACTGTTATTTATTACATTCAATTATCTAGCATATCACATGGCTATCGTTGGGCAAAAATCTGGTGATCTTCCAGTTACCGCCCGTCCATTGTGATTTGTACTCTCAGACGGATCATGTTTACCGAACTGGGCAAATCATTGACAGATGAGAATATATTTTATCACTAAGAGCTAAAGGAGTTTAAAGGGATACTCCACCCAAAAATGAAAATTCTGTCATCATTTACTCACCCTCAAGTTGTTGCAAACCTGTATGAGTTTCTTTCTTCTGCTGAACACAAAGCAAGATATTTTGAAGAACGATTGGAACCAAACAGTTGTTTGGCACCATTGACTTCCATAGTAGAAAAAAAAATACTATGGAAGTCAATGTTGCCAAAGTTCCAATCGTTCTTCAAAATATCTTCCTTTGTGTTCAGCAGAAGAAAGAAGCTCATACAGGTTTGCAACAACTTGAGGGTGAGTAAATGATGACAGAATTTTCATTTTTGGGTGGAGTATCCCTTTAAGACTTCATTTTTCACTCCAGTGTAATGAGCTTGTAATGGCAACATTTGGTGTAGGAGAATTATTAAATAAATTAAGAGCCTACACATGTCAAATGCATGTTACATGCATGAACTATAAATGCTGGGCTAACTTATTTCATTAACATTATCTCTCATGTCAAAAAGGATTTATGGTCTCTCCACCCCTTATGTTGACAGTCACACATCTGCACATATTTATCAGAACACTAGGCCCTTATCTTTACTGAGCACTCAAATAAAAGTAACAGTACGTGAAAAGTATAAGGTGTGATACAGCAGAAGCAACATGTGCAACACAATACTAATACCCTATAGGGTTTTTATTTTCTAAAGATATTCAGTGATTTCAAGAGTCTACAGCTCTACGGCTACAGAAAAACTACAGCTTGCACATTTTACATTGGGATCATAATGCATGCTCAATTATGACAGATTTCAACCAGAGGCATTGAAGGGGTTGCATTCACTTTAATATTTTTAGATACAACTCAAGCACTAAAGGACTACTTGAAGTTTGTAACAAATGAACAGAAATAAAGCATAAGAGCAGTGGAGGGTTGGAGGAAGAACTGTTGCGGTAGTGAGGAAAGCAGCTGGCTATACACTTTTGCAATATAAAAAAACTCACATTAACAACAGAAATTTAATAACAGCACAAAACTGCTTTGCATTATTATTAATGGATATTTTTTGCTAGATAATAATGATACATTAGAAAGTATTTCAATGACCCATTACCATTCAAAGGTTTAGGGTTAGTCCGATTTTTTGTACGTTTTTGAACATTTAAATGTTTATGTTACGAAGGCTACATTTATTAAGTCAAAAATACAGTAAAAAAACCTGCAACACTGTGAAATATTATTGCAATAAAATGTTTTAATTTATTTCAATGGCAAATCTGAATTTTTTAGCATCATAACTCCAGTCTTTAGTGTCACATGATCTTTCAGAAATCATTCTAATAAGCAGATTTGGTGCTCAAGTAATATTTCTTATTATTATGAAGGTTGAATGCAGCTGTGCAGTGTGCTGCTTACATTTTGCGAAAATAAGTGTTTCTTTGATGAATAGGGAACAGCAAGATGTAAACAACAGCATTTATTTTCAATGTAAACGTTTTTTGATTCGTTATTCATTTAATGCATCTTTTCTGAATAAAAGTATTAATTTCTAAAATCAAAAATCTTACTGAACCCAAACTTTTGAACAGTTTTGTATTAGATCTTCATATTTTGAAGATCTAAAAATGTCTAATCTCAGTTTTTTGAGTACATGTCCATTATTTTAGCAGTATTTTAATAATTTACTATCTAAAAGAAAATGTTGACTTGTTTTGCGGTCTCATTCACCGCCTTTGGCCTGGATGGCATCACTGAGTTTAAAAAGGGCAAAAGCTATGCCTTCAACATAACTTATCTCTCCACATTCCATGAGACAGGCAACGTGTTTTCCATCCCCACAATGAGCCAGATCTGAGTATCCACTTGGACCAAAATGGATGATCAATTTATGATCCTCCCATCCAGAGGCATCCAAAGGGGTTTTATTCAAGTAGACGCCAAGGCACGTTCTCTTGCTTGGATTGGTTGGATGGCAATAGAGTAGCCATGTGTTTTCAGGAGCTTGATCAGGAGCAAAACTCAACACACTTCCTTGGCAACCATGTCCAGTCTCTGTCAGCTTATGTTTAGATGAAAGTTTGTCAAAATTTTCTCCATCACTCTTACTTAGAGCCTCAACTCTATGGCCGGATGTACTTCGAGCATTGCAGTAGAGTGTAGTGTTACCTTTGTCGTCTATGATCTCAGCCATCTGACACTCACAAGACTCACCATCCACACGTTTTCCTACATGCCAAGTGCTTCCTTTATTATCACTGTAGAATGCAAATGCATGCGCTGTGGGCTTACAGTTGAGTGGGTGGCAAGGATACACATAGGCCGGGATAATCAGTCTCCCGCTCTTCATTTGAACACCATGTCCTGGTCCAACAGCAAAGGTGGCCCAGTCCTTCACCTGCTCACCAATCACATCTGCTGTCAAGTCGGTAATATGGCTCCAGGTCTTGCCAGTGTCCTTACTGGTTATGTAACAAAGTTGTGCCTGATTCTCATTTTTATGTATTTGTTTGTGTTCAGAGACCCCAACAGGAACAGTGGTGAAAAACAGAAAGAGGGTCTTGGAATCTCTCTCATAGACCGGACATGGATTCATGCTGCGGTGGTTGGGTTGACAAGCTGAAGTGAGCAACTCATGACCACTATTCCACTGAAAAATAAATAAATAAATAAATAAATATATAAAATAATAATAATAATAATAATAATAAACATTGTGATAGTATTCATGTCTTATTAAAAATCTTGTATTAAAATACAAAGTTTATGCTTATTATATGCTTCTCACCGAATAAATAAATGGACATGAAATATTGATTCAAGTTGAAATGATTTGATAATTTTACTTTTAGGCTACAGGCCTAATATTAACACTGAAATTCCAGAGAACTGTGTAATAATGTACAAGACTGACTAAATATTAATGTAAAGTCTCACCTCAACTCCTTCATCTTTCCATATTCCTTTTCTCATCACAAGGACATCTGCATCCGTGTCGTCAGCAGTTTTTCTCTTTTCAGCAAAAGCAAGGAAGGTTTGATTGTCACTGATATAGATGAGAGCTGGAATTCTGTATGTCACCTGCTTTCTTTCAGAGTTTTGATTCTCCTGTTTGAATAATGTTGTTAGTGGAAAGGATCTTGATTTGCATCCTGGTTGTATTTTGTCCTTTATTAAATTGAAGTCCTAGAAATAGAATAAGCAGTTTTATATTAGCATTCACGTGGTGGAGAAAGCCATATTTATGAAAGAGTAGCCTACTGCATAGAGTATTTTTTTGCTGTAGCCTACTCTGTCCTCCCTTCATTTGGCTATCTCCCCATACACTATTCATAGAGAGAATGCATTGTGTGCAATGTGTGGGTTTGTTGGAGTTGGAGAGTGTGTATTTCCCTTACTTCGATCAAATTACACGCAGTCATAAAGCTAACCATACCACGAAGGACATGCACGATAAATAATGCAAGTAAATAATAACACCAATAACAAAAAAGCAAAAGTGACGGTTCGACGCTTGCCGCCTTGAGAGTTACTTTAAACAGGGTTCTCAAGTCTCACGCATTGGCCGTGAGACACACGCAATTCAACCAGTTCACACGCTCACACGCCACACCATGTATTTCTCACGCTGAAAAGGCAATGCCAACCAAGTTGTCCTGCAATTTTTATATAACGTTGTATACGAGGCGCAGGCACACAAAGTGAAGTTTCCTGCCGCAAGCGCGTCCGTATCTCGGCCAGATTGCGTTCGTTACTAGGCAACATAGATGCACAAACACACGGAAGTTGACGGAACATTCTCGGCTATCGCGCGAACGTACGCACACACATTCTCGGCCACCGTACGTTCGTTACTAGGTAACCAACAATATCGCGTGAACACACGTCGTGATCATAGGCCATGATGGAGAAGGTAAGTTGGAAGAAAGCTCGTCTAACATTTTTAGGCTAGAACATTTAATATATAGCCAATCTTATACATTATTATTGATGCAGTCAAAAACTCTACAACTACTTTGCAACCAAGCCAGAAGCTTTTGCTAAGGGAAATGTTAGTGGGTATGGGAAGGAATTAAGTTTATTGAAGAATTAAATTTTATTTTAAATTATATATTATACTGTATTAATAGTCTTTCTAGTTACATCAAGGCTACATGTATTAAGGCAGAGTGCTCTGGGTAATATTTTATATCCTGTCAAAACATACATTAATCATTGCCATTGCATTTGTATTTTTCAAAGATGTCAGGGAAAAATGCAAAAAGATTTGTTTTTCCAAACTGTTTGGAGTAATTTGTTATATTTTAGTAATTTTGAAATATAACATTAAAGAGTAGGCTATATTTGATGTGATGAATTGCTCTGTCATTTATCAGATTTACCAATTGTTATAATTTTAATTTGTGCTGGTTGATTATGAACAATGGGTAAAATTGGGGGGCGGGGCTCCACTGGGGCTCCTCCCCTTGGGCTCCTCCCCTAACCGCATGTGATCTCACTCCAAGCTTTTGATAAAACTTGAGAACCCTGCTTTAAAGCCTTTGTTTTTCAGCGACTAACTATTGCCTTTAAAAGCGTACAGCAGTACTAAAGCGTACTAAATAGCAACGTGAAACAAGTTGATATGATACCGCATGAATGAACGACATACTCACAGAAATGTTCTTGTCTTTTCTGCAACAAAAAGGAAAGTGAGCTGCAGACTTCTTCACCACAGATTTCCACCAGAAACCAAACTTGATCTTACACGCGCTGGGTCTTTTTTTTTTTCTACTGCGAGAGTAAGACGAGTAATTATTTAGTCACTCCTATCCGTGTGCTTACGTGTTTATTACTTGTTTTTTTTTTACGGTCTATGATTTCGACAAATATCCAGTTTTCAGTTTACTGTACAACATCATGGTAACATGGCATGGCTGACAACTTAAGATCGCCCCCTACAGACACCACAAAATATAATAATAAAATGAGACACTTTCTTGAAGAGTTCACATCAATGGTACTGCATAACGCACAAGCTGGGGGAAAACTTGTAATCGTTTTAATGTTATATATATTAGTAACCTACAATATAATGTTCACCTTATATAATTGTAGTATTTGGCTGCAGATTAACACAATCAGTCAATTTTGATTAAAATGATGACCACACTAAAATTTATCCATATCATTCTAAAAAAAGTTTCAGTGACACCAGTCTAAAACAGTGAAGTACTTTAAATGAAAACACTAGTTTATTTGAACTAAACCAGGTGGTTGAAATGAATCTGTGTGGCAATTCCAGACACAACACAGCTATTAGGCTACAATAAAATGAAAAGAAAAAAGTAAACTGTACACCAAAGTTAGTACATGTTAAATTGACGAGCTAAAGACACTTTTTCACCCCAAGCCAGTAGCAGGTGGTATTGAGAAATATCTTCATTTTAGAAAATGTATATATATATATTTTTTTACATTTTACATTCAACCAACCAAGAGAATCAATTAAAAAGGTCTACACACACAGTATAAAATAAAAATCAAGCAGACTAGAACGGCATCATTCGTTTTGGATACATTTAAAAAAAAAAGTTATTTAAGGAGCTACCTGGCAAATGGCATTATATACAAATCAGTATGTATATATGCAAGTATATAAATAACCTATGTTTTTTATTTTCCTAGCATAATCAGTATTTAAGCATGCACATTTTGACACTTCATTTCAGTGAATGCCCTCAAAGAGATTTGACATACAAATGAGCAGTGACACCATTCTCCTACAACTAAAGTCAATGTATATAACAGGCATTTGTCTTACAATAAATACATACAAGGTAAAGCATGTATTAAGCCAGTACCAATAAAGGCATAATTAAATTATCACAATGACAGCTTAGTTTTTATATCATGACAGTTTCATGATTTCAAGAGCTGCTAGGAGTCACCTCAGATAAATCTATCTGAATTCAAAATGCAATTTTTCTTATCCTGTAGAAAGATGTAAATCTAACCCAAAAGCAAATGATAAAAGATCCCACAGGAAGTCCTAATGGATTTCATTTGCTCTTATATCATTTCAAGTGCACAATACATCGCTGAGCTTGAATTCCAAAAAGGCTATCTCCTCAATCTCACTTTTCTCTCCACACTCCATGAGACAGGCAAATCGCTCCTCACACTGCGTCAAGTCGGAGTATCCACTGGGACCATTACGGATGATCCATGGACGGCCCCAGCCAGAAGAATTCAAGGGTGATTTATTCAAGTAAACTCCAAGATCCTTCCTTTTCTTTTTATTAGTTGGATGGGAGTAGAGTAACCAAGTTTTTGTGTCTGTCTGTGTCAAGCAATCACTTGGTTTCTGCTCCCCTTCCTCCGATGGCTCGGGCACGGGGAAGCTCAACACGCTACCCTGGCAGCCGTGATGGGCCTCCACTAGTTTCTTTGCAACGTGAGGGTTGTCAAAATCTGCTCCGCTGCTTTTACTTAAAGCCTCTACTCTGTGGCCACATGTACTACGGGCATTGCAGTACAAATGACTCCGATCAACACAGTCTATTATCTCAGCCATCTCACATTCACAGGATTTCATTTGGATTTTCTCCCCCATCTGCCAGGTGATGCCACAATCATCACTATAGAATGATAAAGCATGAGGCCTGACTTTGAGTGGAAAATGAAAGGGAAAACACCTACAGTGTATGTAATAAACATAAGCTGGAATGATTAGTCTTCCGCTTTTCATCTGAATCCCATGTCCGGGTCCTACTGCAAAAGTAGCCCAGTTGCGAATCTCATCTCCAATAACGCTATTAGATAAATCTGTTAACTTGCTCCAGCTCTGGCCAAAGTCTGTACTAGTGACATAACATAGCCGGGCTTGGTTCCTACCCGTAGCAATCTGATGATACTCTGTGGTATTGCCCAATATGCAGACAAAAAACAGATAGATGGTTTTGGATTTCCTCTCATAGACTGGACAAGGATTCATAGTGCGATGATCCGGCAAACAGGCAGAAGAGAGTGTTTGAACAGGAGACCACTGCACACAATGACAATTCATTAAATTGCATATAAATATTTAATTATGAAATCATACATTGTTCAAAAGCTTGGGGTTGGTAAGATTTTTTAAAATATTTTTAAAAGAAGTCTCTGATGTTCACTGAGGGTGCATTTATTTGATCAAAGTGCAGTAAGAGAAATATTGTGAAATATTTATTACACTATAAAATTACTTCTATTTGATAACATTTTAACAATTAAAATGTAATTTATTCCTGTGATGGCAAAGCTGAATTTTCAGGAGTCTTCAGTCACGTGATCCTCATTGTAATATTCTGATTTAGTGCTCAAGAAACATTTCATATTATTATTAATGTTGATAACAGTTATTATTTTTGTGAAAACCATTTTTTTCAAAAGAAAAAAAAGTTCAAAAGAACAGCATTTATTTTGAAATAAAATTAATTTAACAATGTAAAAGCCTTTACTGTCACTTTTGGATCAAATGCATCCTTGCCGACTAAAAATAATTTCTTATTTACCACCCCCCCAACAACAACAACAATCGTATTGACCCCAAACTAACAGTCGAGTATATTATTAAATATGAATACATTAAAATATATTGAACAGGAAATATTTTAATTACTTGAAGAGATCCATTTAGCAGTAATCCCCTCCTCATGACCAACACTTTTGCATCACTGTCACGTGGAGAGCTGCGCTCTTCAGCAAAAGCAAGGAAAGTCTGACCATCACTGATGTAGATCAGAGCAGGAATTCTGTATGTTTTACCATCCCTCTGCTGGAATAATGCTGTTCGTGCAGGTAGAGCTTGCTGGGGTTCTTCTGGGTAGCTTTTTGACGCCATGCTGTCAATCATTCCTAGAACAATAAATAGGCAAACATATAGGTATATGACACGTTGTAATGTTGTAGACTTTGAACTTGTGGAGTGTTCATGCACATGTCTAGACACTTCGTTTTGAGACGTCTTGAGAAAATACTGGTCCTGCTTAATTAATATCAACATAACAATCATTTAAGTCGACTTAAAGGTCCTGAACGGGACATATTTAGTCAAGATTCAGTCGTCGCGATTCAATCAAACGATACGACCACAAACCTTTTTAAAATGAAAATATGAAATGCAGTCTGTACAGTTCACCTTCCGTGCATTACATCTCATTAGCAATCCGTTTGAATTTAATTCAAAGGAGAGTTTGGCTGAGGGCGGCAGCTCTCCGTCTCCAGCTTCCTCCAGCTGGGCAAGACGAAAGAGGAAATAAAAATACACGTTGTGCATTGTGGGACATGTAGTTCCGAACCAACAAGCACGGTGTAACTTGTTTCATTCACTTGTATGAATTCAGTGGGATATTGAATAACTTTTTGTTCTATTAATTTACGATTTTCAAACTGTATTCATAGAGTTAAAATCGCAACGATGACAGGAAACGATGAAAAATTACTACATTTCCCATATCGCTTAACTACGGTTGCTAAGAAACAGACTTCATGTATTGTTTATTCGAGAGACATGCTAGAAGGGTCTTAGTGGTTCCGAGTAAATATAAATTACGTTTCCAGAGTAAATACTTAATCCTAACGTATCTGGTTAACGGCTTGGTTGGTCTTTATTTTGCTGTTCACAATCACATTACTGTTATCTAGGAGATAGGCCTAACAGCTCACTAAAGGAGATGACAGGACTTGGGATTTACAAATTTGAAAATGGAGAAAGTTACCTATCAAATTGCTTCCCAACAAGATCATATTTTCATCCAAGAAACGAAGGTGAGTATTATTCCTGTGATGGTAAAGCTGAATTTTCAGCATCGTTACTCCAGTTTTTAGTGTCAAATAAGTTAATCCTTCAGAAATCATTATAATATGCTGATTTGCTGCTCAAGAAACATTTCTTATTATCAATGTCGAAGACAGTTAACGTTAATAGTTTTGCTTTATAATAGCTTTAATTTTAATATGATTATTTAAGGAATAGAAAGTTCAAAAGAACAGCATTTATTTATACTAGAAATTATTTTAACAACGTGAAAGTATTTACAGTCATTTTTAATCCATTTAATGCACCGTTGCTAAATAAAAGAATTAATTTCTTTAAAAAAAATCTTACGGACTATGGTGCAAACATGCCTCTGAATTTTTAACATTTAAATAAATAATTGCATCTATTAAACAGTGCACTGAGGTATTATTTATTTTTTTAAAGGGGCAGGACACTGGCTAGTAGCACACAGAAATACATTGGAAGAGGGAATATCAAAAAGGAAAAACGTTTCAGGATCGTGTTTCGAAGTGCACTCCGGGAAACATGAAAAGGGAAGACCAGAGAGTGCAAGCAGCACTTTAGATGCTCAACTTTTAGTAAGAATGCGTTCACATTAGTTACTCTGCTACTAATTCTTTCATTCATTGGTTTCACATGTGACTCTGATGTTCAATATCTCTTACTAACACACACTTCCACTATACTTCAGATTACACTGCATTGTGTGGATAAGCCCTCCGACCTCTGTTCTGTTAACATCAGTGGGCAGCATTTGCAAATGGTAAGCCCTGTATAAAACACATTATTTAAGGTTACTTTGTTAGTTTAGCGGTTCTTTACCAGGGGGACTCAGGAAACAATCTTTCATATAAGCTAAAACTACGTAAATTTTAGATAATAACTTATGGAGATTATTGTCTTGTGTGTGTGTGTGTGTGTGTGTGTGTGTGTGTGTTGGGGGGTTTGCCTTGGAGTCAAAATGTTTAAGAACTAATGTTTTAAGCCATCTGCCTTTACATCACAAAATGATTTTTCTTTTTTTTAAATAGGTCAAACTTGAGGGTTTGGAAAAATTTGATCACATTACTTACATAAATGCCTCAGATAACCATTTAACTTTAGGTAATCAAATATTTGTTATATTCTTTTGATATTTCTAGTGTAACAAGTGTAAAATGTGTGTGCGTGTGTGTATATATATATATATATATATATATATATATATATATATATATATATTTTTTCCTAGAGCCTTTTGACAGGTTTCCTGCACTAAGGGAATTGGAACTATCACTGAACAGTCTCCGTAATTTTGATATTCATGCTGAAGAATTCCAGAGATTGGAGGTGAGTTTGCTTAAATACTGGGTTGTGATCGTATTCTGCTCTTGAACGATTAAAGCAGATGTGAATGTTGTGATGATCTAAAAAACGTGACATTATTACTTTGTTTCAGGTTTTGGATTTATCTTTCAATAACATATCAGGAGAAAGTATATTAAATCTAGGCCTGTTAGCACGTCTGAAGGTGCTCCATCTAACTGGAAACCAACTGCAGATGCTTCCACCTAATATGGCTGGACCTTGTACCTGCCCTGGAGAAAAGTAAAAGAGACTTTAAAATCTCTTTTAAAGACTTTATCTAAGTAGCATATGTGCTTAGAAATGCTATGCTTACCCTTTATTTTAAAAGTATGGAACATTAAGTCACAAGTGACTTTTTGTCTAAAGCTTTGTAAAAGAACTACACAAGAAGATTCAGTGCAGTTTTGAATGTTTGAAATTACCTTAGAACATTTTTCCCTTTTCTTAGGAGCACTCAACAGGGTTCCTTGCTATTTCAAAAACTTGAAGTATTGATGCTTGATGAGAACAAATTATCATCTCCAGGAGTGTTTATGAGTCTTGCTAACTTACAAAGGTTAGTAAGCTGTTTCTAGAGAAATATGTGGCATAAGTTTCTGGAGTGTTCAAATGAATTCATTTCATGCAACAAGACAGATCATTTCATTTTGAAGTCCTGGATGTGGCAGGTGCTTTGGATATATAGTGGAATCTTTATCATATATATATATATATATATATATATATATATGCATACGTATATATGCAAGAACATTTGAGTTTATAATCTACATTTATCTATGTAATAATAATCAGCCAAAATAGCAATACTATTTAGCACAAAATCTCTCTTAATTTAAATAATCCTAAATTTCTAAACAAAATGTGCACTCATTACAATCAGTTATTAGTAACATATAGCCTATCAAATCAGTCTCAGTTTATTTTTACCAAACAATGCTGTAGCCCAAGGAAATTACCCGTGTTGTAAACATGAATGTGTCTAAGTGATTAGAGGGCTCTGTTTTGTTTTTAAATTTATAATTTATAAACTTATTAATAATTAAGGAAACTGCAAAAGTATGATGCTTACATTTGACATTGTTTAGGAACCATTTAAGTGATTCTCACATTCTCTCTTAAATTCGTTTTATCTTACTTTTTGTGCATTTAGGCTTTGTCATCTAAACTTACAAGGAAATTGTATCTCAGGAGTCCCATTCTTGGAACAAATGGCAACATTACAAGATGACCAGACAGGCATTATGCCAGGCATTAGCATCAGACAGAGCGTGAGCCTGACAAATGACAAGAGGATAAAGTGTTAGTATATTTAATAATAATAATAATAATAATAATAATAAAAATTTAGGTTGGAAAACAAATTGTTTATCTGTTCATTTTTTTCCCTTTCTTTGCCAAATAGTCTCTGAAATCACCATGAGCCAGCAAAAACCAGAAAAAACACTGGAAGTAGGATTGGATGTCTATAGTCATATCCATTTTTTTTCTCAATATTATCATTGATATTCATCAGCATTTTATAATGTAACTTGTATATGCAATAGGAGGACAAAGCATGTCTTGAAATACATTCTGGTCCCTTAAAATACTGTGATGATCAGAGAAAGGAGGATGGATGCTCTATGGATCTCCGTCTACCTTTTCAGGAACTTCGTCATCTGATTTTGGCCAACAATGAGGTCTGTGTATTTGTTTCTGTGTCTTTGATTTTTTACAAACATAGACAGCTGAATTAAGTCATTGACAGCAGAGCTTTTTTCCAATTTTCCCTCTAGATAGCTGAGGAAGAGGCATTGTTGCCTGTGGCATTGTTTCCAAAGCTCAATGAGCTTGTTATTCACTCAAACCCCTTGACAACACAGAGAAGTGGTAAGCTCACACATCCTCGGGCAGGCTCATTGCTAGGGCTTTAAATGAACTAAATCTGACACAAAAAAAAGTACATCTTCTTTCTGTGTTTTTCAATACAGGCGACCCACCAATGCTGACCTGTTTTCTTCAAGACAAGCTGGGTATTAAGATAAGGCGCAAAAAGACAACGGATCGCATTAAGCGACATATTAAACTCCCTGTCAATCCTAAAAGAAAGGTGTCACAACTTTAGAAGTTTGGATTTAGCACTTAATGTTTTCTTTTAAGTCTTAAGTCTTTTCAGAAGCAGTTTACCTTCTACTTACATTTTCAGGTGAGAACTACAATTCCAAACATACCAAAATTTCCTTCAATCATGGAAAATCAACATGCTACAGAACCACTCTGCCCAAAGAAATATACTGGAGAAGAAAGTCCTCAACCCTCAGAGTATGGGTTAATGCATGCATTTGGCTTATCGTCTCAAACGAGCATTGAAGACGAGGAAGACATTGCCATGGGCCAGGAGCATTTAGACTTGGCAAGTGCAGACATATCCTTTGAGGCGAATCAAGATGCAGAGCCGTTCTTTGTAACAGAGGTAATTGTTTGTACCTAAATCTACATATCAAGACTTGTATGATACGCATGTTAGAAAACGTTTTTGTTTTATTTTATTTTCCAGATTAATGGCCTAAATCAATCTGAATACCAAGAAGAGCTCGATGATCCAAAGCAAACCAGCCTGGAAATGAAAGCCAATAAAGCTTGTCCAGAAAAACTGATTGGTTACGAAATCTTACTTGATGACACATCTGAGCCAGAAATGCCTGAGATTTCTGGTAAGATTTTTCCTGAACTCTTTGTTTAACCCGTGCCGTTTTGTTTGTTCGTGTTGTCATTGATTTTTCTCGACGCAGGAATTCAACACGCCGTAAGGGTTTTGGAGCACACGCTCAAGAACCTGCTTGTGTATAGAGATTCTAAAGCAAATCTGGACCTTCCTCAGAAGCCGTACGCCAAAAGAGAGAAAAGGGTCAGTGGTCATTCATCGGCTCTATACGGTGCAGTCATCATCTACACTGAATAAGATATTACTGCCATTATTGAATCCTGGGTCATCTGTTATCAGTAACACAGCAGGAACATTCTTTTCACAGATTAGAAATCTGCCACCTTTGAGACCTAAGAAGTCAAAGGGAGAAAAAGTTGAAGAACTTCTCGCCCAAATAAAGGAGAAGAAAACAATAAGCAAAGTTCCCTTAGGTAACCGATGCTTCCTTTGTCATTTTATGGCAGGCTTTGAAATGTCACTTATTTATTAAAATGACAAAACCGAGATGGAACCCAGTGTAATTAAGCAAGTCAAGATGCTATTTCAGCAGGAGCAGCATTTAAATGTTATCATCAACTAGCAGGTCAACTATCAAGAACACTACTGAGATGTTATAGTGATTGTGCGGCACTGTTTACTTTGAAATGCTCTATTTGGCTCTGCAGCTGTTCCTCTATTATTTCAACACTTAACAGATTGCTAGTGTGTTGGACTGTGCTGCATAAATGAACTTCAGTGCAATGATTGTGGATATGGCATCTAGGGAACCTCCAGACTACTGTTAATATGAATAAATTGATATTCAATGCAGCATTGCTCATAGAACGATATTAAATGCAACTTCATATATTCTCTATGCAGATAATGTACTCAAAGGAGGGAATGATATTTGTAAGAGAGAATATGAAGAAGCACTAACTCTGCTGAAGGACATGAAAAGGAAGTACAGGACGGCCCATTTGAAAAGAGTGGAACAAGCAGAACAGATTGAGACTGAGAAGACGTGTAATCTAAATTAACAGGTGCTTTACTTTCTGCTTTTACTAGAGACTGCAACAAATTACTATTAAGATATTGGAGAGATGGCAACAAAATATGATCTTTTGTATTGAATACAAATAAACAGCATATGTCATTGCTGTCAGAAATATAAAGTTTAGGTTACATTTATTTTCATCATGTGCTGAAAACTTACATTTCTAGAGGCATTTGTTTTATCTCATATTCTTCTCTGACATAAACAGTATATTCCCTTCGAGGGATTGCCTCAAAGAATCCTTTTTCACATCATTAATTAACTTTTACTTTTTTTAATATGGCAAGAGTTGGGCTGTTATGTCTTTTGAGTGTTTTGTCACAATCAAATAAATGGTTGGTAATTTGCAGAAAGTATACTTTAAAAGAAATGATCTCATATTTTTACCTGAAATAGTTTAGCATTTGTCATTATGGAATGTTAATGTTTTGAAAGGTGAAGAAAAGAAATAGGAACAAATTAAAATGAAAATAATTTTAGAAAATTGATTGTAACTCAGTGAGTAGTTTTTTTTATACCATTGTCAATTTTAATGTTAATATATTTACAACAGGACCAACAATAAAACATTCATATATAACGTATATATAATATACAGTATAATGTATAACATATCATAACGTATATCAGGATAATAACAGATTTCATGTGATAAACTCCAAATGTGCATTATACTAATAGTGTGCAGCAGTTTGGATTAAAAAAAGGAAAAAAGGTTTAGTTTTTTATATTACTGTCATTGCACACTTTTCTTTTTAATATATGCAATAGGACTAGCATTAAAAACGGCTAAGCTGCTCCAGAAAATAATTACATAATTAAAAAAATTGTACATGTAAATGGGCCATGCTTGTTTTTTCTTTATTATATAAAAGCTTACATTATTATTTAGTATATGATTTTTATATATTATATAGGCCTATATATATTTTTAAAATAACTGATTTCATGCGCGTATATCCTGATAATATCCAGAAGTTCGCATTTTTTCATAACTAAAACATACATTGCAAAGTGTTTAAAATAATGTTTGTAGCTACAACACAGCGAACAAGTCGGTTTTCCTGCAGGAGGCGCTTTTGATAAAACCTAGAGGCGCTTCAGAAACTCCCACAAACCATCGTAGTTATCAAGTGCGGAGAAGTTTGAGAAGACAAATCCTACATGTCCACGGTTTTCTGGAATATGAAGAAAAGAATGACCTACTTGAGACATCTTTTCATTTTGGTCACAATGCGATGCGTCGTTCAGGGTGAAACAGATGCAATACGACCAGGGAAAGGTAAGTGACTCCATCAACGAATATTTTATTAGTAAATGGGCATCACCCTTCGATGCATCATTCTGCCAGCGATGCGACTGTATTGAAAATGCTGTGATTAAGTTATACAATACAACTTCCTTTTTAACGGCCATTTCAGTGTTTTTAAAGTAATGCAAATGAAAGGTAATTCCGTTAAACCGTGACATTGTATCCTACATTAGCATATGTGTAAACAACGAGATTATTCTACTTCAAGTTCATTTTATTTATATAGCACATTTTACAAAAGCCACTGGCTGACCAAAGTGCTTTACAGAACAGCAGAATTAAAAGAAAATAATACCTGCATAACAACACAACACAAATAAGCGCAGCAAAGCTAAGAGCAGCCTTAAAACAGGAGTAGCAAAACAGTATCAGACTCAAATATAAAATATTAAAACAGAGATGGCAATTGATTTCCAATTGGCAATTTTTCCAAAAATTGGAAAACAGTATCAGACTAAAAAAAAAAGTAAATCAGGCAGTATCAGACTCTAATATATAATAGAAAGAACTAGGAGGGGCAAAAACAGTATCAGACTCAATTGAAATTAGTAAACCCATCCATATTGTTGACATTTTTTTAAGGAAAACAACAAAAATCCAAACGTTGTTTTGGTCTCCCCATCCATGTTTGCTAATTATGTATTTATTCTCCCTCACTATAATTGTAGGTTTAAGTGAACATTTCATTTCCATGAAAAGACTGTCAGGTTATGCGTCAAATCAGTTATGATAATAACTCCCCCTTGATGTACAATTTAATTCAAATTAAACTGTCATAATGATATTATCATCCTATCAGGAGATTTTCCATTGTCTCACTTTTTTATCACTATCTTATATTTTGTAAGGTTTGTTAGTATGGGGAAAATCTTAAATCTAGTTTACTTTTTCTTTTTTTTCTTTTTCTTTTTTACAATTAACAACTGATTTTTATTCTCGTTAATTGTCTTTTTAATAAATATCTATTAGTGTCATTACCTAAAGCTATCGCTTTACAGAATACATAATATTTCTGGAATTAAAACATTTATAATTGATAACATTGTTGATGTAAATCCTAGCAATCAAATGATCACATGTTTGTGTTGCATGCAGTGTCAGGTGTGTTTTGCACTTTTAAAGAGAAGTCATACAGGCCAGGTGATAGCTGGCATCCCTATTTGGAGCCCTTTGGATTCATGTTCTGCATGCGCTGTACGTGCACAGAAGTATGTATCCACCTTTCAAGCCTAATTTACTGTTTTAAGTTTTAATATGCCATAGCTTTTTAGCTGATCATTCATGAATTACCCATTACTTTTAATGTTGCAATTGTGTGCATGCACTTGTCAGATGCACATACTATGTGTAATGTGTCAGTGTTTCTGTCTACTCTCATGTGGGTGTATGTATAGTCTGGTCATGTGAAATGCAACAGCATCAAATGCCCTGTTCTGCGATGTGAAAATCCAGTGACTAACTCACAGCAGTGTTGTCCTCATTGTGCAGGTATTGCAACACTTTTTTTTAATGTGGGAGTTCAATTAATTTAATTTATATACATGATTCTGGTACTTTTTTATTTGAACCGTCTGACTTATGCATATTATTGTTATTGTCATAATCAGATGAGCACAGAACTCCTGCTGGTCTGCGGGCACCCATTAAAACCTGTAGGTATAATGGAAGCATTTATCAAACAGGGGAAACATTTGCCAACCATGAGCTCTTCCCATCCCGTCAGTCGAACCAGTGTGTCATGTGTACTTGCTCTGTAAGTATTTGTTTGCATTCATTGTTGTTAACATTTACCATAGTACATCTCTCAGGAGGAACAGACTGGCACCTGCAAACATGGGAATCTAACTTCAAACAGTTTAATAGTTTTTATAGTGTCCTGAAAGATAGTGTGAGAGAGCAGGTCAAAATGCAGAATTTCTGTAGCTCAAACAGTAGAGCGTTACGCTATTTTGGATAAAATTGTCTGCTTTTAAAATGAAATGATAATAATGCTCAATAAACCATAATGCTTTCACCATAGTCATAACTGCAGATTCATTCCCTAGCTATTCCCCAAATAACTACATAGTTTCAGTAACAGACACACAGACACTTAAAACAACAACAAAGCAATTCAAGTAATAATGTCTTCATTAATACATTTTAGGTTTATGGTTGTAATTTTATGTACAATAAATGAAATCATAATTAATATTATTTATTTATTTTTTATTCTTTTTCATTAAAGAATGGAAATATATTCTGTGCATTGAAAACCTGTCAGCTCATTACATGCTCCTCACCTGTGTCAGTCCCGGATACCTGCTGCTTGGTGTGCAAAGGTAACAATTTATTTGCAATTTCTTTTTTCAAATTTAGAGAATTGTAGCCTATTTCAGTTATGTTATAGGATGCAAAGGCTGCTGAAAATGATTTATTTTAGACGAAATTGGATGTTAGAGGCTGTATTCATATTTTAAGCCCCTTGTTGTGGTAAAAAATAAATAAATGCCATTGTCTCCTTTGAATAAACAGAAAGTGCAATTGATATCAATTCTGCATCCTTTGAGGATGGAGGACAACAATTGAACAGAGGAGTTGTATGTATTTTCTTTTTCAAGAGACTCACTGTACTCCTTAAAATGTGTTTTATTGTTTTATTCATGATACTCTTTAATAGGATAATATTTAAACAAATGCAGTTACAACGTTTGATTTTATGTGTCTTGAAACACAAGAGGCATTCTGTGGATCAGTGTGGTGCGGAACAGGTCAGGGTTCGCTCAGTCAGGGCCACGCCATCGACACTCCGGGGGTCTCCCAGAGGCCTCAACCTGCAGACAGTACACCTCAAAGGAGCTGCTGAAACTACTGTTAAAATTCTTCTGCAGCGCAAACATCAGAGAGGTAAACAATAGGGCTTTTCACACTTGAACTAGTTAACCCTGGGTCTTTCTACACCCTGGGTATACGGAAGACGGAATATAGTTGTTAACCCTAGGTAAAAAGAATGCTGTAGGCATGATGTTAAAACTCAGAGGACTAGTTCGCTAGTGGTTCCCTCAAGATTTTCCTATGGGTTACTGTAAACCCGAATAAGTTGGCAAAACTCCAAAAATTTGAGGCAATCAGTCAAAAAAATAAGAAATTCAAAGTTTAGGTAAACATAACTGGCAGATTTTTATTTTGTACATTTTTGAATGGCTCTTTACTTGAAATATTTGATTAAGTTAATTCATACATTTAACTAAAAATTATCATGTAATCTCAAATGAAATATTTTTAGTAGTGGATCTTGGCTAGCTTGAACTAGCTAATTCAGTAATGCTATCTTGCTAATTATTAACACAATGCTTTAATAGCATAGTCATAGCAATTTCTGAATGAGTCACTGTAAACTCAAATAAGTTGGCAAAAGCTTAAGTAAGCAGAACTGACAGAATTTTATTTTGTACTCATACATTTTACTTGTTCTTAAAAGGTTAGTTCACCCCAAAATTACAATTCTGTCAGTAATTACTCACCCTCATGTTGTTCCAACCCCGTAAGACTTTCGTTCATCTTCGGAACACAAATTAAGATATTTTTGATTAAATCTGAGAGCTGTCTCACTCCTCCATAGGCTTCTATGTAATTGAAACTTGCAGGCCCAGAAAGTTAGTAAAGACAATGTTTAAAATAGTCCAAGTGACTACAGTGGCTCAACCGTAAGTTTATCAAACGACGAGAATACTTTTTGTGCGCAAAAAAACAACCAAAAATAACGACCTTATTCAATTATTCATTTTCTTCTGTGTATTTTTTTCTTCCAATATATGAGTCTACGTTCTGACGTACAACCCAGAAGCGCTGCGCTGTTACACTACGTGAACTCACTCAGAGG